TAAATATCCTATGAACAGTATTTAGCTCGTGTGCTTAGCCATTTTTCTGAGTTTAAAATATTGGCCATTTTAAATTGTTTTTCAGAATTCTTAACACACAGCTATACATAATAATCTCGTGCTCTAATATTGTTTTAATCTAAAAACATAACCAAAATCATCTGAATTGGGATTTTTTTTTTTAAAGAGACTTGTATAGTTTAAATAGGTCCAAATAAAATTTTGTGAAAAATGGAGAGAAAATTCCTTTCTAGGCTGAAACTCTGTGTGCAAAGTGGAAATTTTTACTGCTGAAAATAAGATTTCTTTTAAATAAAAATTAATGACAGACATAAGTATAGCATCACCAACAGTGCTACTGTACGGATTTTGTTTAAAAAAAATCACATTCTTATAAACAGATTTCATAGTAGAGTAAAAAGAAGAAAATGCTTCCCATTTCTTGGGTTGCCAACTTTCTAATCGCACAAAACCGAATACCATTGCCTAGCCCCTGCTCCTTCACCGAGGCCCCCTCCCCACTCATTACATCCCCCTTCCCTCCATCATTTGCTCTCCCCCACTCTCACTCGCTCATTTTCACTGGGCTGGGGTAGGGGTGCGTGCTGGGGTGAGGGCTCTGCCTGGGTGTGCAGGCTCTGAGGTGGGGCCAGAAATGAGGGATTCAGGGTGTGGGAGGGGGCTCCGGGCTGGTGCAGGGGGTGAGGACTCTCATGTGGGGCCAGGGATGAGGGGTTTGGGGTGCAGGAGGGGGCTCTGGGCTGAAGCCGAGGGCTTTGGAGCGCAGGAGGGAGCTCACGTCTGGGGAAGAGGGTTGGGGTGTGGGAGGGGGTGTTGGTTCCAGGAGGGAGTTTGGGTGTGGGAGGGAGCTCAGGGCTGGGGCAGGGACGCGGAAGGGAGTTTGGGGTGTGGGATCTGGGCAGCGCTTCCCTCAGACAGCTCCCAGGAAGCTGTCAGCATGTCCCTCTGGCCCTTACGTTCCCAGCCAATAGGGGCTGCAGAACTGGCACTTGTGGCGGGGGCAGGGCGCAGAGCCCCCATGGCCTCCCCTATGTCTAGGATTTGGAGGGACATGATGGCAGCTTCCTGGGAGCTGCGTGGAGCCAAGTAGGGAGCCTGCCAGCCTCGCGCCAACTGGACTTTTAATGGCCCTGTCAGCGGTGCTTGACTGGAGTTGCCAGGGTCCCTTTTTGACTGGGTGTTCCGGTCGAAATCTGGACACCTGGCAACCTTACCCCTTTCACCTGACTTGGGTTCAGAATATAGACATCCAATAATTCTTACTGCTTAGGTCTGACCTCTGACATATAATGCCCCTCACTTCAGATATTGAAAAAACGGATTCTCCACACACTTATTTTTCAAGATACATAATTATGTGTGATTCATAAGACTGGGCAGGATCAAAGTCCATGGCTTTTTCTACACTGTGAGCTAGGGTTGTGATTCCCCTGCATACACATGCTTGCACTATCCCTCTTTGAGCTAGCATGAGTATAAATAGCAGTAGCACAGGTAACAGCAGCAGAGGCGTGCTGAGTTTGTATTTGTCTAAACCAGTGGGTATTCATCTAAGCTGTGCTTCTGCTATCAATGCTCCTGAAGCTACACTGCTATACAAGCCTGAGGAGAGCTAGCACAAGTATGCACACATGAGGAAATCACACCCCTAGCTCACAGCGTAGGCATAGCCCAAGAAGTTTTTGTGTATGCATTCTGAATTACCCAAAGGTGGGGGGAATCGTATTCTTCCTTTTTACCTTCCCTGTCAAATCTGCCTATGAAAGTGATTTTGAACAAATCTATTCTAATTCTGTCTTTCGTCAATTTTATTACACAATCCTAGAGGGCAGAATCAAACCCATGTACCCAACAGTAGCAAAACAATGTATATGGTTGGATTCCCACCCCCACCCCCCTGCCATTTTACAGTACATTTAGTGAGAATATTATGCATATATTGTTTAAGAAACAAACCTTGTCTCAAGTAGACAAGGCTATTACAACAATTAGTAGTGTTAAAGACACAGGTGATCCTCATGCAATGTATGCATGCACGTTTTTTACAAATAAGTACAACATTCAACTAATAACAATGGGTTGTTTCATATTAGATAGTAATTAGCAAAATAACGTTTGACAAAGTTTCTGTCATGCTTCTACTTTAAGAATAAAACACAACAATAAAGCAAAATATTGTTCCAGACAGGTCATACATATGTATATGGTACTAATTATATTAGATTCAGTACAGCTTTTTGGTCAGACAATAATCTATCTGACAAGCACAGAAACAGAATACTAATCCTTTTTCTTCTAGAAACATCTGCATAAAAGGCAGACTTGCTTTGGTACACAGATAGTATCTACCCTGCTTATCTAACTCAATGTTATTAAGCCCTGAACTGAGACTGGTTGCTCACTTTCATAAAAGACAGCCCTTTATTATTAGGCCAATACTTCATAAGAATCTAAGTTTCCAAAAGATGGTTTGATAACTGAAATGAAAAGCTTTACCAACATACTTTAATCTTTAAGAAGATCAAAACAGGGCTTTTGTGCAGAACACAAGTTTTTTACTTTAATAAACTATATAAAAAGAATCCACAAGAGACAGTCACCTACCTGAGCATCTGTATTGGTTCTGTGTATGCCATCATCAGCACCAAATGTCCTTTTGCAGTCATCTAGCCACTACAAAATAAATATAAGTAATTAAAACTACTCTGCAACACAGAGCAAACCAAAGACTGTGATAAAAATGACAAAGACATGTATTGCTATGAATACCTTCCATACACCCAGATCACCATCAGTGAAATTATTTAATTCATACATTTTGATATTCTCATTTTGTTTAATTCTAGTTAAAGCTGTCTTTCACATGCCTGATACTTGGCACTTAATTTCTTACCAGCACTGACCTTGCCAATGAATGTCACTCTTTGTTCTGCTAAGAAAAAATGCTATGTAGCAGTTACCCTGTTCCCTCCACTGGAAATTTCACATAAGCTTCATTATCCCACAGTATGGAGTACATGCTACCTTTAGTGCTTTCATTAAATTTGGTGATTGGGGATGGATGGCAGGTGGTGGAGGAAATAGAAAATTCCTTAATTATATATGCTAAAATAATTTTCATTCAACTTGCTTTTGGAAAGATTCATTATATTATCTCTCAATACCTTTAATGCTAAAAAGATGTGTGTCTAAAGAACACTTTGAATAAAAAGTTGATTCAGTTTAGATAAATGAAAGGATAAAACCTGTTACATTTATTGGGAAATAGTATGATCAGAAAATGTAATTCTCCGGTATAGCCACATGTACAACAAATGTATTCTATTGATTTCAATGAATGTTTTGTGTAAGAGACAATCACTGTCTTGTAGGACGTAAAAAGTGAATATAAAACATACATAAAAACAAGTTAACAGTCTTGATGTACAGTGCATCCTTTTAGCCTACACAGCACCAGGCACATTTTGGGCACTACTGTAACACAAATATCATCAATAATGCTGAAGTAGAGTATTACTGGAATAGCAAAGCACCATGCTGAGATAAAAGTGAAAATTATCCCCTGTAACACAGAACAGGCTCAACACAATCCATGGAAGTAAATTTAGCAGAATGTGTGCTGTATATCATGAGTCTTATTGGAAATTTTAGTGACCTTTTCCTAACCTTTGTCTGATGCAAGAAAGGGAAGAAAAAAATGTGATTTCCCATCTGCTCAATTTAATAAAGGCTACTTAGTGAATTAACTAGGCCTGTGTGCTTATCAGAAGGAGAAGTGGAATTCTCTAAACACTGTGGTGTCAGTTTCAATTAGTGACATGGATCCCACTGTACATTTTAAATCTTGTTTTTCTTTTCATCTGACAGCATCCATCAATAATAATGATATAGTTTGCATCAGAAAAAATGACATCAGAAATTGGGAACCTAATATCTAGTTTTCACACTCTGTCTAATGTCTTCTTACACATTTTACATTTTTGAAATCTTAAAGAGAAAAAACAATATTTTTAAATATTAGAGATCCCTGCAGTTTTTACATGATACTTGAAGTGCTCTATTTTCTTATATTCTCCTTTGATTCAATGTTTTAGTCTGTAATACAGATATGAGCACAATGAAAGCCTTAGTACAAGAGAACAGAACAGTAGTTCGGAAAAGCAAAATTGGACAACATGAAAGATCCTGGCCCAGCACTACAAAAGGGACATTGGCTTTTTGTCACTTGCTCCCTTTATGCGCGTGCCATAAAGCGGCATGCTGGGGACCATTCCTACTAGTGTAAGTTAGAGAAGCCCTGTGGATGTTCTGACTTGCACTGGTAGGTGGTTTGGCTCCCTGCTAATACCAGGACCAGTGGAAGCAAAAAGAGGTGGTTACTCACCTTGTGCAGTAACTGAGGTTCTTCAAAATGGTTGTCCCTGTGGGTGCTCCACTTTCGGCACACTGTGCTTGTAATCAGAGATTTATAGTAGCAGTGCCCCGGTTGGCTGTGCACGTGCGGCAGCCATCTCACTCCGCTCCGAGCGCTTACCTACTGTGCACAGGCAACCGTCCCCAATTTCCTTCTCCACACCAGAGAATCGATGTGAAACTCTGAAGTAGAGGGATGGGGGGTAGTGGAGAACGCACAGGGACAACCATCTTGAAGAACCTTAGTTCCTGCACAAGGTGAGTAATCTTCTTCTTTTTCTTCTTCTTTGAGGAGTGTGCCTGTGGGTGCACCACTTTAGGTGACTGTTGAGCAATGCCCCTCAGTGGAGGGGAGGGGCTTCAGAGTTGGTTTAGTGACCGTAGATAGCACAGAGTCCACACTGAGCATCTGCAGCTGATTGCTGTTCTAATGTGTAATGTTTAGTAAAAGTATGGGCAAATGCCCAAGTAGCTGCTTTGCAAATGTCCATGATGGGTACATTATTGAGAAAGGCCACCAATATTAATAATGGTCTGGTGGAGTGAGTGCAAACTCCTGGCGGAGCTGGTAGATTGTTGTTTTGGTAACACAAATGGATACAACTTGATATCCATTTAGACAATCTCTGTTTTGAAATAGTTTGACCCTTGGAACATTCTGTTATAGAGAGAAATAGTCTAGATGACTTCCTGAATGTTTTTGTCCTTTCTAGGTAGAAAGCTAGCGCTCTGCAAACATCTAGCGTGTGAAGTGATGCCTCCCTGCGGTCGGCATGCGGTTTCAGAAAAAACACAGGTAAGCATATGGGTTGATTTAGGCGAAATGGGGAGGCCACCTTGGGTATAAATTTGGGATGTGGCCGTAAGATCACTTTATCTTTGAAAAATGTGGTATAAGGTGGGTGTGCCATTAGGACACCTAATTCCCCCATCCGCCTTGCTGACATGATGGCAATGGGGAAGGCCATCTTCATGGATAAGTGTAACAGAGAACAAGTTGCTAGGGGGTTCAAACGGTTTCCCCATTAGACTGCGGAGAACAAGGTTAAGAAAGATCCCATGGCGGCAGGGTCTTTTAGGGTGGGATAAGTGTTTTCTATGCCCTTTAGGAAGTGTTTAGTAGTTGGGTAAGCAAAGATAATGACTCCGTCCACCTTGTTGTGGAATGAAGTGATGGCGGCCAGGTGTACTCTGAGGGAGCTGTTAGATAACCCCGATTTCTTAAGGCCCAGTATATACAGTCCAGTATCCTGGGTAGTGGGGTCGACTGTGGAGCAATATGGTTGTCCTGTCACCAAATGCAGAACTGGGACCACTGCTGTGTGTATATTTTTCGTGTGGTTAATCTTCGACTGTTCAGTAGGACGTCTTTCACTTCCTCAGAATAGTTTTTGTAAATCCCCGTTAGCCATGGAGTAACCCGGCCTTGAGAAAGAGAAGGGATTCGTTGGGGTGATTGACGTATCCTGAATCCTGCATCAGAAGGTGAGGTATTATTAGAAGGGTTTGAGGTGGCTTCACTGCCATCTGTCTTCCCATCTGGTATGGGAACCAGGTTTGTCTGGGCCCTGTGGGTGCGATGAGAATGATCCTGGATTTGTCCTGCCTGATCTTGTGAATGACCCGACTCAGGAGTGGGATTGGAGGGAATGCATACAATAGTGGTGTTTCCCACTTTATTAGGAGAGCGTCGCCCAAGAAGTGGTGTTCCAGTCCGGCTCGGGAGCAGTATTGAGGGCACTTTGCGTTCTGAGTTGTTGTGGCTAGATCTATAATGGGGAACCCCCATAGGTTGAATATGGCTGAGAGAGTTGAATGATCCAGCTCCCACTCATGGGTTTGTGAGAAGTCTCTGCTCAGTTGGTCCACTGTCGTGTTTGGACATCCTGGCAGATAAGATGCCAAAATGTCTACGTTGTTGGTGATGCACCAGTTCCAGAGGCATATTGCCTCTGTGCACAGAGAGTATGATCGCGCTCCCCCTTGGCGATTTATATAGAACATGCATGCAATATTGTCTGTAAGGATCTTGACAGTCATGTTTTGGATCAAGGGCAGGAAGTGCTCACATGCATTTCTGACAGCCCTTAGTTCCAGTATGTTTATGTGTAGATTGGATTCTACTGGAGACCAGCGACCCTGGATGGCGTTGTTGCGTAAATGAGCTCCCCATCCCACAAGGGAGGGGTCCATAGCGATCGTTGTAATAGGAGCTTTCTGTTGGAAGGAAACACCTGTGCAGATGTTCTGTGCTTGTGTTCACCATGTGAGCAAGTCCTACGGAGCATAGTGAGACGTCTGTTGAGAGAATGTTTATGTGGTATGTAGATGGTGCAAAACCAGGCCTGTAAGCATCTCATGTGTAGCCTGGCATGCTTTATGACAAATGTCATTTCAGCCATGTGCCCCAAAAGCTGTAAGCACATTCTGGTGGACGTTTGTGGACTGTCCATGATCATTGTAATCAAATTGGTTAAGGTGAGGAAGCACTGCTGGGGTAAACTTGCTGTTGTGGTGAGGCAATCGAGGGAGTTTCCAGTTGTTGGACAGGAACCATGGTGGACTTCTCCACTTTTATCTGTAGTCTGAGATCTGTAAAGAGGATTATCGTGGTTTGTGTGGCGTTTAGTGCTGCACGTTGTGTCGACGCCCTTAAAAGACAGTCGTCCAGGTATGGAAAAATCATCACCCCCAGTTTTCGGAGGTGAGCTGCAATGACCGTGAGGGCCTTGGAAAAGACCCTTGGGGCATATGACAGGCCGAAGGGGAGCACTCTGTATTGGAAATGTTGATGTCCCAGGGTGAATTTCAGGAATCGTCTGTGCGCCGGGTGAATGGTAACATGAAAGTAAGCATCTTGTAGGTTGAGGGCTGAGAGCCAGTCTTCTTTCTCTAATGCCAGAATTATCATGGAAAAAGTCACCGTTTTGAAAAGTTGCTTTCTCACAAGTTTGTTGAGCTGTCCTAAATTAATGATGGGTCTCCATCCACCGGTCTTTTTCTGAGTGAGAAAATAATGGGAATAAAACCCTCTTCCCCTGTATTGATCTGGTACTGGTTCCACGGCCCCTGATTGTAGGAGGTGGTTTATTTCCTGTTGTACCTGGGGCTCATGAAAGGGGTCCCTGAAGATGGACAGAGAAGGGGGGTGGGTAGGTGAAAGAGAGATGAAGGGGATGGAGTAACCCTTCTGGATAATTTCCAGAACCCATTTGTCTGTAGTGACAGTGTTCCAGACTGGGTATTACGGTGACAGACAGTCTCCAAAAAGGGCTAGAGATTGGGTCTAGTTCCGGGATCAAAGAACGTGGAGGTCTCATGCCCTCAACCAAATCTTCAAAATGATTGTCTGGAAGTAGATGAGTAGAAGTAGTTGAGACATGGAAGGCTGATCTTGGTTCTGCCTGCATCTTGTCTGTTTATGGCATTGGTCACACTGTCTTTGCGGCTGGATGTTTGGGGTAGTTCAGAATCACTGGTTATAAAATCTGCCCTGGTTCTTTTTGTTCACGGGTACACAGATACCCAGGGATTTTAAGGTGGCCCTGGAGTCCCTCAGGATATGTAAAGACACATTTGTGTGTTCCACAAAGTTTCTGACCCTCAAAGGGTAAATCTTCGACTGTGGCCTGGACCTCCATAGGGAACCCGGAAAGGTGAAGACAGGATGCCCAAAGCAGGACCACAGAGGTAGCAATGGAGCATGCTGCCGTATCTGCGGAGTCGAGAGAGGCCTGTTTTGGCAACGAGACCCCCTTCAGAAATGTTAGCCTTGTATTGTTCTTTTTTGTCATCAGGCAAATGTTCAATAAAAGTTGACATTTTAGAGAACAGGTTGTGCATGTATTTAGCTAGTAAGACTGAATAATTAGCTATGCGAAATTGGAGCATGGCTGAGGAATAGGCTCTCTGTCCATAGGTCTAGCCTTTCCCAGTCCTTATCGTAAGGGTTCGTTCTAGACTGGTGTTGTTTTCCCCTTTGATTAACAGCCTCAACCACCAAAGAATTTGGTGCAGGGTGAGTGAACAGAAGCTCGGCCCCTTTAGCTGGCACATAACACTTGTCAGATCTCTTACAAGAAGGCGGGGGTGTGGCAGGTGTCTGCCTGATTATTTTTGCAGGATCCATTATGGCAGCATTGATAGGCAGTGCAATTTTTACTGATGGAGATGCCTGGAGGATGTCTGTAAGCCTGTGTTGGGTTTCTGGTAGCTCTGCTAAGGAAATGTCCAGGGATTCAGCTACCTTCTTGAAAAGATCCTGGAATGATTTGAAATCGTCCCGATGTGTGTGTGGGGGGGTGGTATTACTGTTTCATCCAGTGATGAAGATGAAATGTGGGTGGGCGGCAGGGTATCACCGTCGGGCTCCTCTATCTCCTCCTCCCATGTCTCTGAGGGAGCTGGGGCAGGTGGTGAAGGGGATCGTGTTGCTCTAGACCTTGGTGGAATGGGGAGGGGAGGGGGAGGCTGAGGTCCTGAGGCCTATATAATGCTCATGGATCCCAGTATGCCCAGTTGGGTGGAAAAGTCATTGGAGGCGGCACTCACAGTTGAGCCTGCCAGCCTCATATGTCAGCAGATGTGTAATGCTGAGAGGGTCCTGGCTGAGGTATGGAGTGGTGAGGGGTGCATGTCCCTGCCTCATCCTCTTCTTCCTCATCGCTGGAGATGGCTGAGCCAACGGGAGTAGCCACCAGGTTTGGTCCCGGTCTCGCTGGGGTACCGTCGGTACTGAATAGGAGCGTGCCAGACTTTGAAGTAATCATGAGGTTCGCCTGTTGCATAAATTGCTGTGGTACTGGAAGACTCGGTGCCAGGGACGTCAGAATGCTGTGGCATGGGAGCAGAGTGAGAGCTGTTGGTACTGATGGCTTACTGTATTGCGTAGGTACATCAGGTGGTGCCATTACAGTACTCGGTGCCGAGGTTTTCTTCAGCTCCGTTGGTGCCGACCTGGGAGGTTTGGTTTTCGTGCGCGTACCTCCATGAGAGCTTGCCCACACCAGGTCCTTAGCTCCTTGAGAAGTCTTGGTACCGGACGTTCCTGGTGCCTTGTGGTCCGATGCTTTTGGTGCCATTGGTACTGGGGTAAATTTTCCACTGGGAGATTGCTTTCTTTTGCGCAAATTTCACTGTGGGGAAGAGCAAGACCGCTTTTTAGCAGCCTTTTTGGAAGCAGGCTCCTTACCAGCCATTTTTGAGGTAGATCCCCTGTCAGATGCTGCTGCTGGTGACTGCTGGCCAGGAGGCATTCTCGACTCGGGGTTGGAGGCTGGCCTGAGACATTTCTCCATCTGGAGGTCCCTAGCCTTCCTTGTCCTAGCAGACAATTTTTTGCAATGTCGACACTTCTGAGTAATGTGGGTCTCACCAAGGCAGCGGACACAGTGTGCGTGGCCGTCTGCTACCAGTATCGAAAGTCTGCAAGTCAGGCAGCGTTTAAAGCCGGGAGAGCCAGACATGCCTGAGAGGGTACTCGTTTTGAGAAAGAAGGAGAATAAGTCCATATTTGGGTCTCTGTTCTTGTTGTCGAAGCTGGCGACCCACCTGGGGGGGGGGGGGGGGGGAAAGAGGGATTGAGGGGAACAGCTAACCAAAAAAAATTTGTGGAAAGATTTTAAAGATTTATCCTCTAGTTAAAATATAAACTAGAGGATAAATAATGAAATTAAAGTCTAATACGTCCGGGAAAACAGAAAACTGCTGAGGTATGTAAGATTAAGAGAGGCACTGCTGTCGCTCCGACTCAAGACAAAGGCAGTACAAAAGGAACTGGGGGACGATTGGCTGCAC